CAACCCTGTATAGGGTTTCCAAGGAGCAGCTGGTGAGCTTGAACTGCCAACCTTGCAGTTCAAATGGCTTTGCAGTCTGGTGCATTAACCCACAGAATTAAAGATGACAACAGTGTAACTCAGATCATAGGCATTATCATCAAGAAGGTAGATAAATGTCACACTTGTTCATTTTATCTGTAATGTATTATCCAAAATTTATTAAAAGTCTGCAGTGAGCAAGACAATCATCAGTTTAGTTTCCTGGTCTTTGAATTAACTTGTACTTCTTTCCCTTCACCTGTAAGTGAATGTTGTTGTTAAGTGTCATTGAGTTGGTTCTGACTCATGGTGACCCTGCATAGAGTCTCTGAGGAACAGCTGGTGCATTTGAACCCTAACCTTATTGTTACCAGGCCAGTGCATGTGTGTCAATTTACCACATCCTTCCTGGACTGCAGTTATCTCTAGAGGATGTGGGTGCTGTCCGCGGTGCTGAGAATTTCCTTCCTAGGAGATGCATGTGATCCAGTCTTCCCTCTCTTTGGTCCCCAAGTCTTAGAGTTCTCTCATAAAACTGCTAATTGACACAGAGAGGGAGAGGGGCTGTGAGCTGACAACCGGGAGGCAGGCTTGTAGTGTATACTCTTTGGTTGGTTGATGATGCATGGAGGGGATTGTAACCATGGCAATGAAACAATATACGATAGGATGAATGTAAAATGAATGTTCTCCCATGTAAACGATCACATAATTCATAATAAAACATTAAAAAAAAAGAAAACATAAAAAACACACTCAAAAAAAAAAAAAAAAAAAAAAAACCCTGCTAATTGATAATCTCAGGCTGCCTTCTACTCTGAGAAATGAGGTGGTTGTGATTTCTTTTCCCTCCCCCAAGAGAGACTCTGAAGGGAACCTCCCCACTTCTCAGCTTTCCTGGGAGCCCAGTGTCATCCTAGGAATGAAAACTTGGTGGAAGGTTTGCTTGTTCCTCCCTCACCATGAAATTCATTAGACCAAGAAAATGGACTTCATGATACCCTGAAGATTCTAGGTATGGTGGCTGTGAGGAATATTTGGGCACTGGAGGATCTTGAAAGTGTTCCTAGGCCAATAGTTACCCCTTGTAAGTAATGCACTTGTTACAGGTGGATTCTCTGTTTCTAGGTAGTACATTGGCTGGAGGTTATCTAAAGAATAGCTTTAAACATAGTCTCCCCCAGGACATACATGGTGGGGTGGGGTCTTAAAGGTAGGGTCAGATGTTTTGTGCCTCTACTGGGAGCTTTCTCATCTCCACTACATTTTGAGGCATCTGAGAGGTCAGAGGAATGGGGATGTGAGTATGTTAGAATGATTTCTGTCTCAAGGAAACCTAAGGACAAGAAGGAATCTTGTGCTATCTAGTTTAACTCCTTCATTGTTTCAGAGTAAAACTGAGGTCCAAAGAAGGCAAATGACTTTCTCAAAGTGAAGAAAATGACAAGTGGCAGAACTGACCACTCAATGTCAGGATTTCCCAAGCCCAGTCAATTTAGCTGTGTATTTAAAAAACCACTTGGGGGGGAGGTGGTCCTTAAAATGCAGGTTCCTGGGTCCCATCTGAAGAGATTCTAATTTGGTAGAACTGGGGTGGTGCTAAGAAATCTACTTTTTATTTAATTTCCTGTTGATGGTCATATAGCTGGCTTGGGGACCACACTAGAAGAAATGTGCAGAACCTTTAAGATTGAATTATTTACAAAAGAAAAATAGAAATAAAAGTGGTGTGAGAATTTATGGAGTACAGATTTAAAGTCACTGTTATCCTCTTCCATCCTTTATCAAATTGTCATGTGTTCATATACAATGTATGACCACAAAAATCAAGACCTGTGACAAAATCATATGACTTTGATCATAATGACCAGGTCCTGAAATGGACAGTAAATCTGAGTCTCTGATCCTTGTTCCCTGTCACAAGATTATCCAACTATTGTATTTCAAGGCAATGAGAAGAGTATATGCCAAGCAATATTTGAAACTGTGACATATTGTACTCAATGAGTTTTTTTAAGGCATCATTTAAATTCTCACTTTCACTGTGGATTATGTATTCATTTAATAAATATTTACTGCATATCTAAACACTGGACTACAAATAGTAAGGTCAGTGGTTCAAATCCACCAGCCACTACTTGGAAACATTAAGTTGTTGTTGTTGTTAGGTGCCATCAAGTCAATGCTGACTCATAGCGACTTTATGCATAACAGAACGAAAAAAATTCCTGACCCTGGGCCAACCTCACCAACATTATACAGGGTCTCTATGAATCAGAAATGACTCAATGGCACTTAACAACAACACCATATACTAGCCAAGCCCTTAGCTAATATCTACTGCATCAAAATGTCTTCCCAAAAAGACTTTATTGGATAATGATACTGTAAGATGTGGAGGTCAGATAGGGAGTTCTTACTCTGCAGTATTCATGATTACAATAAAACATACAAACAATTGGTATGCTATAGAACTTTAATGCAGGCTATGATTTTAGTGGACTCCTGAACTGAAGGTAATCTATAGGCAAAACAACAAAGTAGTAATTGGGATTACAGTTAACTCAAACAGAAAATACATTTGTGGGCAAAGACATATTAAACCTGAAAATTTAATTGTAATAATAGTCTTATGTTTAACATTTAATTATATAGTTCCTTTCAAAATTATCCATGGAAAATAACATAATAATATTTAATTAATCTTATTGAGAAAATATGATGTATCATTGATTTTAAATCATTTGTGAGTATCAAATTGTTATCTATCTCTAAAAGACGAACCCAAATGATCCATGGTTAGGCTTGTTTTGGTATATATAAGCATGGATTCATCTCAGATTATTTTGGTTTACTTGTTGATCTTCTATCTGGTCCCCAAAAGAATTTAAGTCTGTCATTTAAAATTAAGGTTTGCCTTTTCTAATTTTTTCAGATGAAATAAAAGAAGCAGTTGAATTTCCATCAACAGATTCACCAGTTGTTAGAAGAAGTCCTACTCCAAACTTCACTTTATTTTATGCAGGGCATTGCAAAGAATTCCAACTTCACCTACAAAGAAAAACATCACCCACATAAGTCATTTCTATAACGAGCAAACACTCTTCAAGTGTTCAGTGTGTGAACATCAGGGGAAGCGTGACATGTAGGAACATCTAGGTATCACCCAAACTTTCTAAGAGCTTATAACTTACTTATGAGATCAGGGCAGTTATGGTACAGCTTTTTAAAAACCTTATCATTTTTAAAAGGTACTAGAGCTGTTGATTGAATAAAGTATTATGGACTGCACAAAGAACAAACAGACCTGTCTTGGGAGATGTGCAGGCAGGATGCTCTTTGGAAGTGAGGATGGTGAGACTTTGTCTCACATATTTTGGACATGTTATCAGGAAGGATCAGTCCCTCGAAAAGGACATCATGCTTGGCAAAGCAAAGGATCAGCCAGAAAAAAAAGGAAGACCCTCAAGGAGATGGATGGACACCTTGGGTGCAACAATGGACTCAATCAAACATGATAATAGTGGTGAGGATGGTGCAAGACTGGGCAGTGTTTCATTCTGTTGTGCATAGAGTCACTATGAGTTGAACCAAATTCAGTGGCACCTAATAGCAACTCAGAACTGCTACTATAATTACCTACTGCTTTCTATTGTTTTTTCACAAGGAAGGAGTTAACATGCTTCTCCCCAGGGAAATCACTAGCTACTTTGTTTCTTTTTTATATGTCTCTCTTTAAATGCTTGCAAGGAGCTAAATTGGTTAATCTGAATGTGTGGCCCCAACAAGTCTCCTTTGTCAGAATCACCCGGACATTATTATAAATATGAATCCCCAAACTTTATCCCAAATTAAGTCAACTTATTCTGGGGTTATAGTCTAGGACTATTAACTTATTCTCCAAGTGATTCTGATGCACATTAGAGTTTGAGAATGCATGGTCTAAGCAGATAACTCAGTCTAGCTCACTAGATCACTGGACAAACAGCTTATGGTGTCCCTCTCATTCATGCCATATTCTCACACTGATAAAGGACACAGGGACACAGATTGTCCACAGAAGTAGAACGGGCCTATGTGTCTTCAATATCCAGGAAGAATGGGAGGCTAATCCCAGTTACTGTCAAGTTGGTTCTGATTTATGGCAACCTTTGTGTTACAGAGTAGAACTGAGCTCCTTACAGATGGAATCCTTACAGAAGAAAATTGCCAGGCCTTTCTTCAGTGGCTTCACTGGGTGTGTTTGAACTACCAATATTTCAATTAGTGTTGTTAAGTGCTGCCAAGTCAGTTCCAACTCATAGCAACCCTGTATAGGGTTTTCAAGGAGCAGGTGGTGAGTTTGAACTGCAATTAGTGGTGGAGCACAAACCATTTGTGTCACCCAGGGACATCGGAAGGCTAATAGCTCTCTCCTGTTGGCATATAAGAGGTACTCGATGGCTGAAATGGTAAACAGAACTTATCGCTTAGGAGATGAAATTCCAAGAAGAACAATATATAATGGGCACTTAGAGGAAAAGGGATGGAGAGCTGCTGTATTTTGAATTGTATTCCCCACAAATATATGTTGAAGTTGTAATTCCCAGCACCTGTGAATGTGACCTTATTTGAAGATAAGATTCCTGCAAGTATCATCATTAAGATAAAGTCACACTGGAGGAGAGTGGGCCCTACATCCAAAATGACAGATGTGTTTTGAAGTATAGGAGAAGGGCTACAGACACAGATACAGTGGAGAAGGTCATCTGAAGATAGAGGCAGAGATTGGCGTGATGTACCTAACAAGCCAAGGAATGCTAAGAATTATTGGCAACTACCAGAAGTTAGAAAGAGACCAGGAAAGGTTCTCCTAGATCTTTCAAAGACAGAATCATCCACCTTGATTTTAAATGTCTAGCCCCAATCAGGCTTGCAGAATGTGCCCTTTGGTTATATATTCCTGAGGTTTTTTGTGTACATCCAAAACAAAACAAAACAAAACAAAAAACAGCGAGAGTAAATAGGAGCAAATACTGTTGAATGATGATGCATGGAAGAGATTATACTCATTGCAATGAAAGGAAATACAATAGGATGAGTGCAAAACTGATGTTCTCCCATGTAAACTATCACTCAATTCACAATAAAAACTTTTTTTAAAGTCTCGCCTCCAGAACTGTGAGAGAATAAATATTTGTTGTTTGAGGTCACCCCATCTGTGGGATTTTAAGACAGCAACCCTAAAAAACTAATACAAGAGGCAAAGGAAACAGAGAGACATGTTGGTGACAACCCGGGGGTGGTAAGGTGGTATGGCTGTAGGGGTGACGTGGAATCCAGGAAGGTAAAATGAGAAAGGACACTCAAGGAAACTCTGACCTTTTTACCAAGTTTTTCTTCCTCCTTCATTTTCTTCCAATAAACCCACGATTTTCCTGGAGATGACTTTTCTCCTGAATTAATTAATCCAATCTTTAATAATAATAAACTTCTGATTTTTCCTTCAGCGAAGCAAAGAAAACACAACTCTCTAAAAGGGTTGCTATCAAAGGGTGTAAGTTACTTACTGTTGATAGAGTCTGCCAAAATCTGAAGCTGCTGTGTATTGTCCAAGACCTCAATCCTTTGCGTGTACGGATCATACCGAACAGAGAAGGGCCGAGGAATCATAGCAGCAAAGTTCCTGAGACCAAAATCACAGACCTGAGTGAAGGGCACCATTTGGGGGAAACTAACTGTAGAAGACTTCTCAGCGGCATTTCACTTTGCTGTTTACCAGGACACAGGCTTCAGAAGCCATAAAAATGGAATGCAATTTTACTGAGGTCCTTTTGGGAAGCCTTTGTGTGCTATGTATCCATGTGTATATACAACATAGGTAAATGTATATATGCAACTCTGAGACATATATATATATATGTTGTTGTTAAGCACCATGGAGCTGGTTCCGACTCATAGTGACCCTGTACATGTTTTCCGAGGCTGTAAATCTTTATGGGAGCAGAAAGCCTCATCTTTCTCCCGCAGAACGGCTGGTAGTTATATATTTGTTGTTGTTGTTATGTGCCATCGAGTCGTTTTTGACCCATAGCGACCCTGTATAGGGTTTCCGAGGGTGTAAATCTTTACAGGAGTAGAAAGCCTCATCTTTCTCCCGCGGTGCAGCTGGTAGTTTCGAACCGCTGACCTTAAGGTTGGCAGCCTGATTCGTAACCACGATGCTACCAGAGCTCCTTGGTAGTTATATATATATATATATATATATATTTATATATACAATACTATTTTTGTTTTTGTGTGCCATCAAGTTGGCTCTGCATCCTAGCAACATAGTATAGGGTTTCTGAGACTAAAGTTTTACGGAAGCTGAAAGCCTCCTCTTTCTCCCATTGAACAGTTGGTGAATTCAAACTGCTGACCTTGCAGTTAGAGCGCATTGCTTAACTCACTATGACACCAGGGCTCCCCATATACAGTACTTTGTTGTTGTTAAGTTTAGTCAAGTCAGTTCTGACTCATAGCGACCCTGCATAAAGTTTTCAAGGAGTGGCTGATGGGTTTGAACTGCTGACCTTGAGGTTGGCAGTTCAGTGTTTATCCTACAACCCACACCAGGACTCCGTATACAATACTAGATAACATCAAATCAATTTGATTCATGGAGAGTCCGTGTGTGTTAGAGTGTAACTGTGCTTTATAGTTTTCAATGGCTAATTTTTCAGAAGCAAATCACCAGGCCTTTCTTCCAAGGCATCTCAGGGTGGACTGGAGCCTCCAATCTTTTGTCTAACTGCTGAGTGTGTTAACCATTTTCACCACAAAGTGACTCTCCTAACAAACTTAAATAAAATCAAAAGAGTGAGGAAACTCTGGCCAAGGAATGCTACATTAACAACAACAACAACAAAAATCTGTGAGATTCCTGAAAATCAAACTCAAAAGGGGAAACCACTCTCAAATTTGAAAAAAATATTGTTAATGCTAAAATTGAGTATGTGCCAGGAGCTATGTTAAGTCCTGACTATTCTATACTTTTTACAAATATCATTACTAATTTAACCTTCACAATAATTTTATATGAAGAATTCTACTTCTAGCTCCATTGTATGGATGAGGAAACTGAGGCTTAAGGAAGGAAAGTGACTCAACAAGGTCATATTGTAATAAGTTGTGAAAGGACCCAGGCAGTGTGACGCTGGCCTGTGCTCAAAACTTCCCTGCCATCTGGAAGCTTTACGCCTGGCTCTGGGAGGAATCTGCCAGGAGGGAACGTATAAAGAACATGGAGCAATAGAATTAACAAGGTATTCCAAAATGGTTTCTAAAATGCAACCCAAGCCCACTGCCATTGAGTCAATTCCAATTCATAGTAACCCTAGGTAGGATTTCTGAATCTGTAAATATAAGAGCAGAAGGCTTCATTTGTCTCTCACTGGTGGATTTGAACCACCAACCTTGTGATTAGCAGTCCAATGCTGATCCTACAGCGCCACCAGAACTCCTCATAAAATGCAAACCCATAGCAAAGTATATTTCTAAGTTAGTTCCTGATAAAAGTAGAAGCTGATATTCTGAGAAAACAAGTCTAAGGGGGACTAGTTGTTGTTGTTGTTGTTATGTGCCGTGGAGTCGGTTCCGACTCAGAGCAACCCTGTACAGGGTTTCTGAGGCTGTAAATCTTTACGGGAGCAGAAAGCCTCATCTTTCTCCCATGGAACAGCTGGTAATGTAGAACTACTGACCTTATGGTTCACAGGCCAATTCATAACCACTACGCTACCAGAGCTTCTTAAGGGGGACTAGTATGGCTCTCTAATTTTGGCAAGAGTGGTATAGCATATTGACTAGAAACCCAAGTTCTGGAGTGAGACTGCCTAGGCTCAAATATCACCTCTACCAGATAAGAAGACTCTGATGACTGACTGGGAGGTGGGGTGGCTTTTGCCACTACACTACACATAAGAGAGTTCAGTGATTGGATATGGTTACATGGAGTGGAGGACATCAGGTGATTGTGTTGGCAGCCCCAGAGTTGTCTGTATGGGTCAGCATGCTGCAATAAACAGGGCAAGGAAGTTCACCTAAGGGACACCTCCTACCACAGTGAAAAGAGACAAGGGTGGGCACGCTGGAAAGACCAACTCTTGGCTACTCTGTGGTATGGCTAAAGGCATTTGGGTCCACTCCCCTAAGCAAACACCCAAGGCCAGGACCTGGGGTACTGGAGCAGACCCAGTTGAGGGGCACAGGACTGCTGGCCTACCTTGACTGCTGCCTCACCTCACTTTCTCCTTGGCGTCATTAAAGCTCTCAGCCACGTAATACAAGGGCTGGAACTCCGTAACTGTATACTCCTGGATGGCTGTCTTCTCCAGCTCCAGCGGAAGGCGCATTGGTTTGTCTGATAAGCAGTACTGTAGGCCCCAAATGGAAAGGTTCTGCCGTTAAATCAGGGTCGGTGGTCCCTGGTGCCTCCCACTGGCTATTTGTACACCTTCTGTCACGTCACCTCAATTCCTTCCATATTCCATCCCAAATGTTGTGAACTAAATGATTTTTGCATGTCCTAGATACTTTATAGTCTACCTAAAATGTACAGCCACAATATACACTGGAATAGTTCACTCCCAACCATTCTCAAATAAGAAGTGAGGCCAACCATATTTTCTAATATGAGTTTGCATACATTTGTAGTTGCAATACAACCTTGGGATCAGGGAACCCCCTACTTGCACCCTCTACCTCTAATTCTCATGTTGTTTAGTGTTGCTGAGTTATTTCTGACCAATAGCGAGCTTGTATTGGGTTTCTGAGGAGTAGCTGGTGGGTTTGAACTGTGAACCTTGTGGTGGTTAAGCAGTCCAGAGCTTACCCAACAGTGCCACACGAGAACTAATACCCACAACCATAACCAAATCTCAGCTGGTCTGCTACCAATCACTAGGGAATGAGACTCTGGAGTACATCTCAAAAATGATTGTAATAGGATTCCAACAACAACATTAAGAAAACAAGAATGGTTTCCTGTACCCACCCCTTACAAATCTATCCCTGGTTCATTTTAGAGTCATACCTGTAATTCACCAAAAGATGAAAGGAGTCCAGCACCATATGCTTTTATGGAGTCTCCTTGCTTGCATAGCCCAAACTCCACAGTAAACCAGTAAATCTGAAATGGAAGGTCAAGCTGAGAGCACATCCCAAGAAACAGGAAAACAGCAAATGGCCTATGGCCAAGGACAGCATTACCCAAATGGGAATCCATGAAGGTTTGTTCCCTGAGTCAGCAGGACCTAGACTCACTTTGCTGTGCCCTAAGACTCATCCTGAGGAACAAATAGCTGAATGAATATAAGATGTGGCAGGTGATAAGAACAGGGTCTCAGAGCAACTAGTCTGCGGAAAACAAAACTTTCTGAGAATCCTGTTGATTTGCACTTGTAAACGTTCAAGGTGATACATCTTAATGAAGAATTTGCTATTCATTTTGAGGTCCAGAACAATTTGTTTTTCAACTTTCAAGCTGAGTAATTATAAGGAATGTGACCTAGTGGCTAGGAATAGATGTGTTCAGATTGGAAAGGAGCCTGAAGGAAGGAAATCACCTGAAGCTCAGTGTTGCTGCTTCCCTGGCTCACTCATGAGAAGGATGTGTTTGGTAAAAAGGACAAGTCTACCCCCATTTTCACCTTTGTGTCTGGGGAAGGAAAGACACTAATGCTAGCTTCAGTGCAAAGATACAGATGTAAACATTACCTCTTCAAAGCTGTGAAGCCAGACTACTTCAGATGGGTATTTTATGCCTGAGCATTCTCAAAAGCCATTATTATAACCTATGCTGTTGGGAAGACCCTCTGTTTAAAATTATATGTGACTATCTGTATGCATCCAATTTAAAAAACAAACCATTGAAAACATATCAAAATGTGAAACTTCACATTTGCAATTGCATCCCAGCCCATTCTGATGCATTTTTCTACTGTGGAGGAGAAAAAGCTTCAAAGATCTGAGGACTAGGACTCTCACCACCCACCCAGAAGGAAAAGGGGTTTCCACATTACCGTGGCAAGTTTCTCAACATATTCATCAGGCGCACCCAGAGAGGCAAGGCCAATTTCCTGTAATTGTGGAGAAACAGAATCAGTGATATGGCTGCCCATCTTCAACCTTTACCACCGGGAAGGTGGTATGAGACCATATACCTTCAGAAGAACCTAGATGACATTGACTGATTCGTCAATCTTTTCCTGTCTTCAGTCATAACACGACAGATTTCTTGGACATATGAACATTTTCACCATCACTTTGTCCTTTGCATTTATTTTACAAATGAGAAGACTGAGGATCAGAGAAGGGAGGTGACCTAATCAAGGTCACATGTTGTTGGTTGTTAAGTGCCATGGGGGTCAGTTGCGATTCACAGCAACCCCATATAGGATTTCTGAGGAGCAGTTGGTAAGCTTGAACCACCGACCCTGAAGTTTAAACTAACATTGCAGTCCAGTGCATTAACCCACAGTGTCGCATAGGCGTAGTAAATTAGTGTCTGAGGTCTCATGTCTTCACTCTATCCCAGTGATTATTTCCCCACAGCACAAGTGGAACATTCCTGAAGTTCTTGGATGCATCTGAATCATATAATATGAATAGATCACAGAAAAACTTCAGAGAAGTGGCTGACAGTCATCCAGATGTATACAAAGCTGCAGAGACTGAAGTATCAGGTACAAGGTCGCATCATAACTCCAACAGCGGAACTGCTCCACTGGTCTCAAAGCATTTTCTCTATTCTCCCTTGCACAGAATTATTTATATACTCATTTATTTATATTGATAGTATGGGTCTACCGACCTAAACTAAATGGTGTTGGTTTAGTCATTATTGTTGTTAAGTGCCCTAGAGTTGATTCCGACCCATAGCGACCCTGTATAGGGTTTCCAAGAAGCAGCTGGTGAGCTTAATCATTAGGTTTCGATAAATGAGGACCCTGAAAATGAGGAATTTATCTTAAACATTAGCTGACGTATAGAATTTCTGAGGAGTGGCTGGTGAGTTTGAACCATCAACCTTGCAGTTCAAATTGACCTTGAGGTTGAGTGCTTATCCTATTGCACCACACCAAGACTCGAAAGTACCTATAAGGAAGATAAATAAGACCACAGTATCTGGAATAAGACCACAGTATCTGGAGAACACAAAGTAAGGTGAACAATAAAAAAAGATTATATTGGAAATATTTAAAAAACACAAAATTAGGTGCGATGACCTCATGGTCCTACAAAGAGAACAGGACACGTTTCAGCTCACACAGACCTTTAAGACAGTTATTGTAGGAACTAAACTACTGGGACCTTAAAAGGTGGAATGCTTGAGAAGAATTATTGTTTTATTGTTTCTTTTCCCAAAGCATGCCATCCTGTTTTTAAAATACATTAAGTGTACCTCCAAATGTAACTTACCCTATATAATGTGCCTGTTCTTTCTGATGAACAGGACAGTCTTGAGAGATTATTCTCCCTGTCCTCCAGACTGCTGGCTTTCTGGTAATGAAGTTTAAATCAGCTCTCTCACTGCCTCTGTGATTGGCTACAGTGACAGGCGGCAAGCCCCCATGTCAGTCTGGCAACAATAATTCTTTCCTATGATATACATTCTTCATCCAAAAAAAACACTGGGTGCCTTCTATGTGCTTGTGTCTACTGAGAACATTCTATGTACTTGTTGTAGTTAGGTGGTACCAAGTATGTACCAACTCATAGCGATCTTATATAGCATAGACTGAAACACTGCCCTGTCCTGAGCCAACCTCCCAATCATTGTTATAGTTGAGCCCATT